CGTTCCGACGTGGATGGGCCACGGAATGCCTACAGGCAAATGGTCCTACGGCTCTCTTTTAATAGCCCCCAAATCGCGCAGCGATTTGGGGGGCAGGAAAATCTTCAGGGCAACGCGGCTCTTGCCTCCTTTCCTCTTGGCTTCTTGGCCTTTATCATCCCTAAGCTTTGTTTCTGGGGAGGAAGATTCTCACAGGCCGCTTCTGTCCCCATTCGGGGATTCGGTGATTCGGTTGCCTTTCGGCGTCTCCGCTCCCCTTGCCGCCCGGGCCCGAGGCGGGGTAGCAAATGTCGGCCAGTGCTCCCGTGGGAGCCGCGTGGCTACGCTGCAGGCCAACGGCTGGAAAACACTACCGACGACCTCCGCGGGAGCAGTGGGACGCGACAGACCCCGCTGCCTGACTGGGAGACTCTGGGACAAGCCCAAATCCCCAGTCAGGCGACCGCCGAAAACGGAAACACCACCACCAGGGCGGGTGGGCGGGAAAAACCGAACACCGAGCAGCCGGCACCAAGAAGACCGCCCCCAGCGGCCCACCGAGGGAGCGCGCCGCCAGTGACCAACACCGCGGGCACCATGGCCGCGAGCACACGGCCACCGAGCCCCCGAAAGGGAACTGCGGCGCCACCGCCCCCAAGGGCAAAGACGACGACGACGCCGACGACAGACAGACAGACAGACAGACGGACAGACAGACAGACAGACAGACAGACAGACAGACAGACAGACAGACAGACAGACAGACCAACGGCCCAGAGAGACCGACGGACAACCGCGACCTCACCGAGGCCCCCAGGCGCGTGAGAAGCAACACCGCCGACGGGAAGCGCCGCCAGGCACCACCAGCTCCACCAGGAGCACCCACTTGGGATAAGGCGAGTGAGCAAAGAAGCGGAGGAGTACATGGACAACTCCGGCCGCTCGTTGTTTTCTCGCGCTGAAAACGCTACGCGTTTTCGCGCGGAGAAAACACTACCGACGACCTCCGCGGGAGCAGTGGGACGCGACAGACCCCGCTGCCTGACTGGGAGACTCTGGGACAAGCCCAAATCCCCGCTGCACCCAGACCTCCCAGGCGGAAGCTGACCACGCGTTGCCTGTGAAGCAAGAGAGAATCTTTTTTGGAACCACAGCCAGGCCCAATGCACCAAGAAAGTTCACTCGCCGTCTGACGAGCTCGAATGCTCGACCAAAAATTCAGCTGCCTGCAGGGCCCCACGTGCCCGGGCACTGGCGTACGCAAAGGCAGTCAACCCACGCCAGCCTCCACTGTAGAAGAGGGCAGTCGGACCTCCTGCTTTGAGAGCATCCGAAGCCCAACCACGCCTGAAAGCATGCGTGCCCCACGCCTGCGGGGACCTCAGATTGCACGCGGCCGCTGCTAGTTTTAAGAAAGCCAGCGACTCGGAATAATATATGTGTTGGAACGGTGGCTCTTTGGCCTCGACAACAGGCACTAAGGCGCACACGCCGCACAAAGACGGCCCATGCGTCCCGCATATGCAGCCCCTGACCACTTCAACTGGCTCCTTGTAACATTTCCGCCGCAGAAATGTTACGATCACCTGCTTCTTGCCCTTGGCCTCCTTGATTCTAAGTGGGGCCAGGCTCGTACCAATAATCAAGGTTTCACTATAGCGCAAGGTGAAGTGGCGCGACACAACCCACGACCGAGCCACGTCCGGCCTGGATGCCGTCTCGGAAGCCCACTTTGCCAGGGCGCGCGTGTCTCCTGGCGAAGCCCTCAACTTCACACGGCGAGTCGCCGGATCCGTGGCCTTCTCAGCGCCCCGAATCAAGCGGGAAGTGTCCGCCAAAGGACCTGGTGAACTTTTCAACCAAGCCAACACTGTTCGAAGACGAGACACATACTGCGCCAACGAAGCTCCGCTCCGAAAGAGAGACACGAAGCAATCCAAGATGCACTCCTGAGGGGGCCAAGGCTCCACGCGCACCGTAGCCGCTGCCTGTCCCCACAAAACCACGGCAGACGCATACCCCAAGGCACTTTTTCGCCAGCCTTGAAACTCAATCCAGCATGCCCGCTCCGCGAAGACGGCGGCGGGAGCGGGGCTTCGTTGAGCTTCGCGAGCTTCAGCTGTTGGCGCCTGGCCAGGCATGTCCACGGGCGGCTCTGGCACTTTGTGGAGCACGCGTATGGCGTGTGCCAGTACCGGCGGCGGGGGGACACAACCCGATTGCCTTGCAGCCACTACCAGTCGCAATGCTGCGAGCGCTTGCGCCATTTCTTCGGCTGACGCCGAGGCTGGCGCAGCTGGACCCGCCAATGAACGCTCACGGCTGTGAGGCTGGCGGTCCGTCTGCGATTCCTGCACCGCTGGCTGCTGCATCCCCCTATCCGCTCGACCACAGAACAACAGAAAAACCTTGACGATGGCAACGTCCAGCTGGCCCAGAGCAGGCCAAACCTCCTGCGCCTCGAAAGCGTCCAACGAGCCAAAATCACTGAAGGAAGTCGCGCCGTCGCGTTGCAGACTTGCTGCAATGCCGTCCGCGTCATGGACGTCCTGCTTCGCGGCGCCACCGGCCCTCTGAAGCACGCTCGCCAATTCACCGCGCCAGCGATCCGCAGGATGGCCAGGACGTGGAAGGGAAGCGCCAGGCGGCAGTGCTGGCTCGCTGGCCTCAGGAAGCCCCTCTCGTAAGCGCTGCCATCGCGCCCGCTCTGCGTTGACAAAACTCAACGCCATGTGCCGGCCTGCAACCCGCAGAGCCGAAGGCTACGGAAGACAAAGCAGAAGTGCCAGGCAGAAGCCGCACGTGGAAAACTGAGTGCGCCTGCGCTGCGCATATTTTCCCTCCGCGGACACCCAGCCATTGCCGCCTTAGCTGTCCCAGGGGAGCGCTGGCCAACGCCAAGCCGTCTCCCGGAAAGACAAGCTGTCTAGTTCAGCGCGGCTCTGCTCTGCTTTACTTACGCGAGTAGGCCCATCTGCCAGATTCAACGCAGAAGGGACATAATGAGCGTGCATAAGCACACTTGCTGCAGCTAGATCGAACCAGATGGTGCCCAAAACTGCGTTGAGATCAGGCTGCCGGGAACTGCCACGCAAAAGTGCGCTCAACGCCGCTGTGTTGTCGATGAACACAATGAGCTCTGGTGACTCGACTCCTTGCTCCAGGAAAAGCCGCACGCCGCACAATGCTGCCAGTAATTCCCAGAGGGTCACCTGCGTGCGCCTGGGCCGAGCCCAAGCCCAAGCTCTAGACGGAATCTCTGCTGCCGCCCAGACACGCTTTGACGGAGTTTGAAGCACTACAGCCAAGTTCCCTCCGCCAGTGGCGTCAGTGTACAGGATGCACCTCTGGAGCGGAGGTTGGCTGAACCGCACGAAAACGGAAGGGTCAGAACTTAAAAACCGTTCCCACCACTGCAGAGCATTGCGCACGCGAGCTGCCAGCGCACGTTTCCGTTGGCTGCTCTGCCAGAAGAGCGGTGCCAGAAAAACTCTCGCACCGCGGCCAAAAACCGCTGTGGCCCCCCAGCTAAGGCGACCAGCAAGTTTAGCAGCCTCTGCTGGCGCCAACGCGTCACTACGCAAAGCATCGCGAATTTGCTGGAGCCACTTATTTTTCTTCTCGCACCCAATCCAAAACCAAATGCCCTCCAGGCAGGCCTTCGCCTCTACGCCTAACACGGTCATTTGTGTCGCCTCAGCAACTGCTTTGGATTCATCTAGCAGCCAGCCAAGCAAGTCCACGATCACTGTGCGCGCCAACCCCGCCGACCCTCGCGGACCCACCAAAGATCCGGGATCCGCGGTGCTCGCGCACGCATCTGCGCCGAACAAATCGTCGACGAAACGCGGATAAGCAAGCAGAAATATACGGGCCAAAATTGCTTGCACCGCGCTACCGAATCGATGCCACGCAAACACAGAAGCCGCCGCGCCAAAAGGACAAGAGAGCAACTGTAATCCCTTGTCCTGCTGCGCAGCACTACTCCACGTGGCAACTGAAAACCGGAGATGGTTCTCCTGCACAGGAAGCGTCTTGAACGCACTCTTAAAATCATCCTTGCGGAAGAGCAGAGGCGAACCCCCCTTTGCAGCGTCAAAACAAGCCCGGGCCACACCAACAAGTGTATCGAGCGTGTCGTGACGCATTTCCTCTGGAATGCAAGTGGCAGAATTGAGACCGTTGCCACTGAAATCGTCGATCAGACGTACTTTCCTATTCCTCTGCCCGGCACGTTCCCGCCAACCTTCGTCGACAGGGAAGCTGACTGCAAGCAAAGCATCTACGGCGGAAAGCTTTACCCAAAAAGCTTTCCTCTGCGCAACCTCTTCTTTGCATTTGTTCTCAAACGCCTCCTCTACCGCGGGGCACAGCGACGTGCGGGCCCACACCTTGCACAAAGTGTCGGCGTTGATAGCGCCCACCGAAGATTCCAGCGCACTTACGGCCACTGGTTCGGACACGTGCCGCTTCGGAGGCATCATACCGGAAGGATTCAACCTACCTACGATCGGAAACCCGAAAGCTAAGTTATGTACAAGCTCTTTATCTGGCCGCGCGATGCTCTCGAGCATCTCCGCGAGAAGCAGTAGATTCTTCCCCGGCCCTACCAGCTGCTGCACGTGCAGCGGTAATCCCCGCAGAATTTGCTCCCAGGGGACAGCCAGGTCACGTTTCCGCCCCTGCCAGTACTCTAAAGCGTCAGCGCGCCATCTATGCAAAGCCCCCGGGCTGAGAGCCGAGGATTTTTGAATTGCATCCTGCAGCAAAGGGGGCAAGCAGCCCTCACGCGCGACGTGCGGCAAAGACTGCGCCCATTTAAAATGCGCCGCAGGTGTCATAGCAGACCGGGCGTCCCGATCCTGTAGCAGAGCATGCACGGCCGAACGGATCTCGACAAGAAAATCCTTTCCACCACTACATGGAAACTCGATTGTTTCCTCTGTACCCTGAGAAAAGCTCCCGTCGGAAACCTCGCTCAGTTGTTCCTCCACGTCTGTGTCGGGGAATCGTCCTTCCCCTCACTTGTTCCACCACTTGTCCTGCCAGGACTTGTTGCCCTGGTTGTTGCCATGGCCGCCCTTGCCTCCCTTGCCGTTGGAGTTGCCGCCGTTGCCAGAGCGCTTTGGCGACCTGGACCTCTTCTTCTTGGGGGTGCTCGGCGCGGGCCCAGCCCCTTTGTGCGCCTTGCCCTGGCCCTTCGGCGCCGCCCCGCTGGAGCTGGCATTGCCCCAGCCTCCGTAACCAGAGCTGCTGCCACCGTAGGTCCGGGAGCCTCCGCCGTGCTGCGCCTGGCCAGTGGTCGCCCGGCCGGTGGTCTCCTTCATCTTCTGAGATACTTTATCTTTGGCCTTCCGGGCCATGTCCTCGTCGAGCACGTTGAAGTAGTGCGAAAGCCGGTCCTCGCCTCGCTCGAGCGAGCGCGCCATCGCCTTACGCTGCAAGATGTCGTACTGATAAGCCGTCCGGACCCCGCCGTGTTCCTCAGCTATGTGGGTCAGATTGAACAGGTAAGCCAAAAGCTCCGTGGACGAGCACGCTTTCATCAGCACGCACTTCATCCCCCACTGGAACACGTGACCCATGAACGTAGCGTAGCTCTGATAATCGAGCTTCAACTCGTCCGCTCGGGCTTTCTTGTCGTCGAGCACATGCTTGAGCTTTTCCTCGATAGATGAACCAGTCGGTGGCGCAGCCACGACAGGCGTGCGCGACCATTCCGGTCGGTGGTGCGTCTGCAGACACTCACCGTCCGCGCTGCCGATCCACTTGCGCTGCTTCTCGGCGGCCACTTTGCCAGCATGCTCGAATTTGGCCAAGGTTTCTTCTGAAGGGAGCCCATCCGACGGGAAGTGCGCCAAACCCATTTCTTGGATCCGCTTGGCCAAATCGAAGGACAAACCCTTCTTTGCAGAGCCCGCCGCGGCCGTGTGAGACGTCGCCTGGACGAACTGCTGCATGGCATTGGCGAACACCGAGACCCCTGCAGCATCCGAATCCGAAGCCATCTTCATCTTGGACTGAAACCTACCCTGCGCACGCAGAGCCAGCGACAGCATAGCAGGCGTCAGAACAAATTCTTTCCAACCCTCAGGGCCGGAAGAGGCGAACGGCTTGTCGTGGAGCACCAAGCCAGTCTTGAGGGAGTCGCGGATGAAGTCGTCTGCGTAATCCTCCATCTGGACGCCCTGCACGACCTCTGCCATGGCACGCGCCGTGCCCGTGTAAAAGCGAAGGTCATGTTTAGCCTTGGCGTTTTCGTCTACAGAGCAGACGAACTTGGCGAACTCCAAAATATCTTCTGTGGAAGCGCCTGCGAATGCTCCCTGCGGGAGGCCGGCGAGGTCCGAGCTGATCTCATCTGCTGAGAACGAAGCCATGCCGCAGCAGTACAGGACAGGAGCCTGCAGGTGATCTGCAACGCAGCTGCTGCACAGTAGCACTTGAGTGTGTGATTTGCCTGAGCCCACACAGCCACGGTGCTGCATGCTTGCGCGCATAACAACAATGACCGGCTGCAACGGATCATGACCGATACTGCTGTTGCACCGGAACATGGGCGCACGCAACGTTGCAGCCCCAGAGAGCCCGCACCTGCGTCCCGCAACCAGTTTTTCGAACGCGCCCAGCTGCCACCGACGGCGCGCCAGCGGCTAGAGCCACACCCAGCAAGAAGGAGGGAAAGAAGAGAGTCCTCCGCTCCGCTCCGCCTCCGACGGCACCAACTCGCACAGTGACGCTGCTGCGCATCCCGGCGACCCCCCTTTGACGTTTATCGCGGCCAGGGGGGCCACTCGGGTCACCCTTGCGCGAAACCATGCAAGCTACAGCGGTGCCACGCCAATCCCAGTCGAACCCCTTTGACCGCCGAGCGGCCAGGGGAGCCACATGGGTCTCCCTGCACCTCCCCCTCCGCCAGGCCGGGTCAGAGCAAGGAGAGAGGAATTTTGAGCGTAACGAGGCCTGTTTTGGCCAAGTAACCTCACGCGAGGGGGCTTCCGCTCATCCCACGCTACTTCGGCTGACCATCGCCGGACATTTTTCCGGGTTGCCCGAAAAAAATGCACCAAGCAAATCCTTCCGCAGTGGATCGAATTTTCAGGGGCCGGAGCCCAAATTTCACGAGCCACACCAGAATTTAATTCTGAGTTCCCTGTTGAAGGGGCGTCAGCATGGATATTCCGATTACGCGCCGTTTGGGACGCGGGCCCCCCCGGAGTCGGTCGAGGACGGGCGTGCCGCACAAGTGCACAGCACCCCCCCGCCCCCGTTGTGTGCAGGTGGGGGGTTAGCCAATGCCCCCCCGTCAAGGACTAGCTTCTGCCGCCTGCACACATCCGACCCGGAGTGCCCAAGAGTGTCCGTAGACCCTCTCTCTGGTTTGTGCGGCATGCAAGCCCAAAATGCGACTATTAGGCGCGCAGGCGCCCCCGACGCACGAATTTGCAGTCGGACTGCGAAGGTGGACGTGCCAGGCTCCACCATGGGCACGGAGCCCAGAACGCAGAACCGGACGCGCAAACGCCCCCCCAGCGCAAAACAGAGCCCACAGTCCAAACCTGGACGGTTGGACGCCAAACCGCGGAGAAGAGCCCAAACTGCCACACTGGACGCACGCTTTCCCAGGAGGCGAACTTGCGCACATGCGCCCACGGACGCGCCTGCGCACAAGACTGCACAGAGTGCAATCCGAGGCGCGCGTGCGGCTCGGCGCGCACCAGGCACTGCGAAGGGCTTTCGGACGCCCTGCCCTGGGCGCGCTTGGCTCCCGCATGGAACTGGGCTCTGCAGCGCGAGTCAGAGCGAACTGGACACCCGGGCCCATGAGCGCGCCAAAACCGCACAGAATGCAAAACTGGATGCCTGGGTGGGTTGGGGAGCGCATCCGCGCCCTCACCGCAAACGCCGAGCGCCCCAGCCTCGAGACCGCGGAACCGAACACGGAGCGCGCGGACGTCCCAGAGCGCAAATACGAGCACAAACTGCAAACCCATGTGCACCCGGCCGCGCCTCTGAGCCGAATTGCCACTAACTGGGGGGCCGACGCCCGCAATGCAGCAACAGACGCTCCTGCGCAAGAAACCGTGACATTGGGGCAGCCCTGTAGGACGCTTTGCGCTCCCAAAGACGCAACTGCGCCTGAGTGCGCCGGCGCGACTGCGCCCACTGCGCCGGGACGCCTCCGAACGCACACGCGCCCGCGAGCCCACATGACGCGCGCTTCCCGCCTCGCGGCAAAAGCCACCATGTGGCCGAAAATGCGGAGCAGCGTGCCCTGCCAGGTTGCTAGCAGCCAAACCCCAGGGAAAGGCGGAGCGCCGAACAGTTTGCCGAAGGGCAGGGACTGCTTGCAGCTAACGCTGCGAACAGGGGTCATCGGCATTGCCCTTGCCAGGTTGCCACGCCCAAGCCGTGCACAGGGGTCCTCGGCATTGCCCATGTCAGGTTGCCTCGCCCATGGCTGAGATGAGAATCATCGGCATTGCCCATGTCAGGTTGCCTCCTCTCCATCTCGCCGGCAAAACCTGCGACGAGGAGCGCCAGCAAAACCGAACACCGAGCAGCCGGCACCAAGAAGACCGCCCCCAGCGGCCCACCGAGGGAGCGCGCCGCCAGTGACCAACACCGCGGGCACCATGGCCGCGAGCACACGGCCACCGAGCCCCCGAAAGGGAACTGCGGCGCCACCGCCCCCAAGGGCAAAGACGACGACGACGCCGACGACAGACAGACAGACAGACAGACGGACAGACAGACAGACAGACAGACAGACAGACAGACAGACAGACAGACAGACAGACAGACCAACGGCCCAGAGAGACCGACGGACAACCGCGACCTCACCGAGGCCCCCAGGCGCGTGAGAAGCAACACCGCCGACGGGAAGCGCCGCCAGGCACCACCAGCTCCACCAGGAGCACCCACCTTGGGATAAGGCGAGTGAGCAAAGAAGCGGAGGAGTACATGGACAACTCCGGCCGCTCGTTGTTTTCTCGCGCTGAAAACGCTACGCGTTTTCGCGCGGATGCACTGTGGCCTGGGCGCGCGCGGCCTCGTCGGGGCGACGCTCTGGCGGGCCGGCGCGCCCTCCTGCGGGCCGCGGGCGTTGGTCGCCTGGGGCCTGGGACGTCCTCGTCCTGCCCGTGGGTGTCTGCTGGCACCGCGGGGTGGGCCTCGTGGCGTGGGTGTTTTCTTTCCCCGCCCGCCCTCCCTGGGTTGCGCTCCGCTGGCTGGGCGTCCTGAGGCTCTCTCTCTCAGGTTGGCGCCAGCCAGCTGCACGTGTTTGTCGTGCCCAACGTCCGTGCGGGAGCGCACGCAGCATAGTGCTGCGACGTATAATTTTCCCGGCGCGGCCGGCTTTCCCGCCCGCCCTCCCTGGGGTGTCTTGTGTGCTAGCCGGGCTGGGTCTCGAGGGCTCCTTGGGGTCTCTCGTGCTCCCCTGCCCGGCTGCACGCTGTGTGTCGCCCAACGGTCCGTGCGAGCGCACAGGACCATCCCAGAGGAGAGCGGCCGCACGAGAATCTTCCCTGTCCTTGGCTCACTGCCTGGCAGTGCCTCCGCGGCGCGGCGGATCCTCGCATCTCACGGCCGGTGGCCTCGCAGAGGCTGGCGTACTTCGCAGTGCCTCCGCGGCGCGGCGGATCCTCGCATCTCACAGCCGGTGGCTTCGCAGAGGCTGGCGTACTTCGCGTGGGGCTGCCACGTTGTCCTCCTGTCCTCTTCCTTTATTGGTTGGTTGATTGGCACGCTGCCCCGGCCGTGCTCGGCGCTGGAGTGCGGTAGCGAGTTGTGGCTGTCCTTCCCGGCAGGTGCCGAAAATCTCTGCGTGCGGTTAGCGCAGAAGAAGCAGGCCGGCGCCCCCCGCACCTGCGTTGGGCTGAGGAGGGCTGAGGAGACACACGGCGCCGCCAGGCTGGTCCCGACTGGAATACCCCAAGGGCCCAGCCTGGCAGGGGGCACCGCGCCCGCTAACCGCACAACAAACCCAGGGTGGCACGAGGGTGGGCTTTCGAAAATGAGCACGCCCGTCCTGCGGGCCAGAGACACGCCCGTCCTGCGGGCCAGAGAAAGCATTTCTCGACCACGCCCGTCCTGCGGGCCAGACACCACGGAAGCCCGCCAACGACGAGCAGCGAAGCGCATTTATCGTCGCGCAACCACGCACCACCAAGGCACGGCCCCCCGAGGCCGCGCCGCGAAGCGCGACAACCTTCGCCCCCGCGCGCGCACAACCGCCAACCAGCCAGCCGGAGAAGCGAGGAGAGGAGACGACATGGCATCCCCACGCCGCGGTCCGCCAGCCGCGCGCGGCCCCAGCTTATTAGCACAGAGGGGACCCCCCCAATCCGCCGTGCCACAAGGGCACTGCCAGGCAGTGAGGCCGAGAGGCCAAGAGGCGGAGAGGCCACGAGCAACCTCCCTGGAGATTTTCTTACCCCCTAAAGGTTCTTTCGTGGGGAGGAAAATCGGCGTTTCGGCCGTAGTTTCCCACGGTTGGTCGTTTGGTCCGTTTGGGGAGTTTCATGGTTTCCTCATGGCCTGGTTGGCTCCAGTAGGAGCGGCGGCGTTGGCGCGTGTCGTCGGGGCTCTGTGGTTTGCCGCCCGGCGCGGGGGCGGGGTAGCAAGTTCCCGGCGTCCTCGTCGCCACGTTCGCCGTGGCTACGCAGGCGCGCTCCTGGCTGACTTGGTCTGTCCAGTGCGCGTGCCTCGTCGGTCCCTGCGGGGTGTGCCGCGGCTCGGCCGGGCTGGGGCTCTGGGCCCCGGCGGCTTTGATGCTTCCCCGTCGGGTCTGTTACGGCGCGGCTGGCGGGAGGGGCACATTGCATTGCATGCCCAGCTGGGTCCGCCACGGTCCGGCCAGCTGAGCCTCCCCGTCGGGTCCACTACGGTCCGGCCGGCGGGGAGGGGTCCCACGTTGCATTGCAATGCCCAGCTGGGTCCGCTACGGTCCGGCCAGCTGGGCCTCCCCGTCGGGTCCGCTACGGTCGGGCCGGCGGGGAGGGTCCCACGTTGCATTGCAATGCCCAGCTGGGTCCGCTACGGTCCGGCCAGCTGGGCCTCCCCGTCGGGTCCGCTACGGTCCGGCCGGCGGGGAGGGGTTCTTGTATTGCATGCCCAGCTGGGTCCGCTACGGTCCGGCCAGCTGGGCGTCCCGTCGGGTCTGCTACAGTCCGGCTGGCGGGAGGGGCTCCCGAATTGCATGCCCAGCTGGGTCCGCCACGGTCTGGCCAGCTGGGCTTCCCCGTCGCGTCCGTTTCGGTCCGTCCGGCGGGGGGGGGGCTCCCACATTGCATGCGCAGCTGGGTCTCTTTCGGCGCGGCCAGCTGGGCTTCCCCGTCGGGTCCGCCAGGGTCCAGGCAGCGGCATGGCAGTACCCAGC